GCGAATGCGCCGATCGGCTATCGCAGCGTATCTCCAGATTATAGATGTCGGGTTGTAGCTGCACAGCCGATCGTACCACCTAGGACGTCGATCCGTCAGATACGTTATTGTAGGTGTGCCGGATACGATGTGCTAAAGCACGAGTTCCATCAGTACTTCATCTTCATGCAGAAGCATAGTCCAGGTTGAACTTACCGCGATCAATGGGGCAAGACACAAAGTGAATAAGGAGACCCACTCGGTAAAACTAACACATTGGCTGTTGTAGCGGATGGGCTCAACCTCGATGTTGAAATACGGCATTGGAGATGATGCGGCCGAGACATTCGCGCAGGAGAAATTCGCTAGGGATGACTGAATCTATCCTTCAGGCCCCCGACGACCGGGAAATTACTTACGCACGTAAGCACGCACAGTGACACCTACCACGGCGTAATATCGGATGCATGTAAGCGTCGATTATGTGTACCATCCCTCGTGGGACCACTACATCGCTTTGTTCGACCTCAAACCTTGAATGTATCTCGATATGGACACAAAAGTATATCCAGAGATGTGCCAAGAAGTTAGCCAACAAGCAGTTTGTGTCCGTAACGAAGTATCATGTGTCGCCTCAGCAGATAGCTACCAAACTAAGACAGTGGCAGCGCTCATTCTTAATACCGTATATCTACCTCAGATATCGGAAGCAGGTTTTCTCTATCGCAGCAGTTCGAGGTTGGCCTGTGCCTCCGCCATCTTGTAGATGAGTGGGTTGCTAGAGATGGCGAAGATGAGGCCAAAATGTCGGGATCCGTCCTAGTGGCTGTTTTGATGCTGCCCAGGTGGCCACGTGTTGTGTGCGACTAAAAATGAGTACCGAGCTGTTTATGTCGTTTTGATTGCAAGTCCAGAAAGCTCATAGCAAATCCGACAGTCGTGATAGAAATTGAAGTATTAGTGTTGCATTGGGACCAAGCCTCGATTGAGTCGGAGATAACGCTTAGTAATCCCGCACTGACCTCCAAAGCTGGGAAGAAAATCTGAGGTACTCTCGCGTGCCTCGCATGATGCATCTGAGCTTTGTACACGGATGCGACTCCCAACATGCGGACTCGCATTGTTGAGAAATTTGACGGCTTTCTCTTCTTCCTGCATTCCTTTCCATGCGATCGTGCTGAGTCTGTGGGGCGTATGGCCACGTCATAGCAGCCTTTTTTGTCTTTATCACACGAGCTCAGCGAGCGCGCCCATAGGTACCTACCGAATGCACGGTAAATTCCATTCCAAGATTTGTCAAAGCTTTCGATACGGATGAATACGCTCCGCTAGCATCAACTACCGTTACCGGCTCCACGCCCATCAGCCATCGGAGTGCACCCGGGCGTTGGCGCGGTGCGCTGAGTTCTCGAAACCTCTCAGAGTCTTCTCACATGCAATTTGAGTTTGCGTAAGTTTGTGGCGCCTTTCTACTACCGAGGCGTCAGCCTTGCCCGCAAGTAAGGCGCTGAACACCAATATCTCGAGCGATGGATTCGCCGAGATCGTGGGGAGACCCATCGCGATACCCCGCATTTTGTCCACGCGGGGCGAAGTAGTTACCCCTTGAAAGGTAGCATCTCCGTCATCAGATTACAAGCCAACGGTTTATGGCTGGTTCCCGAGCGTGTTAACAACGATGGCGATTCAGTCGATACACCCACCCACAGACCGGGAGAATGCATCCGTTTGCGGTCCGGCAGTCAATGCCACTCTTGGCGTCGATATCCTACCTTGCACGTCCCTCCACTACACATCTCATAGTCGGTGCACTCAGGTCAGTCGCGTTTTGTCGAAAGCGCAAACAGAGAACGTTCCGAGGACAGCTTGTGTAAAGACTGATGTGGCGCAAAACCATAAACTCTGGATTACTACTCGTCCGCTAGATGCGCCGACACCTCATGACCAGCTGCCTAGACAATACGCGCCGGAAGCTATCCACCAACGATCCAAGCCTATTGTGGCTCTTCCCCCTGGCTGACGCTCTGAAGTGCGAGTTCGGATAGGTCAGCGCACGATGTTCTTCATGCACCGTGTCACCTCACAAGGCTGTCAGACCCCACTTCCATCAAAATGAGAGCGATCTGCAACCCAAAATTCCGGGAGGATGCTATTGAAGCATGGGTGTATCTGCAGCCACGGCGGCCTTTGAGCTTACGTTGAGTCTTTCCAAATCGCTCTTCGTCCGGACGCAATAGACTTCGACATTGTCCGAGGCTCGTTGTGAAGCGTAGTCTCTGGCTTGTGACATCTATTCCACCGGGCGAGTTAAGTATCGTGCGTTGCACAGCGATGGTAGAAGCATTCACTAGAAGCAAGAACTTCATTTGATTCGACAACCACGAGTCGAACGCACAACTACTCACTATGAAGCTGGCAACCCTTCTTTCGTTGCTTCCATTGGCTCTAGCAGTCCCAGCACCGCTGGAAAAACGAGCAAACCCTACCGTCGTTGCTCCCTCGCCTCAAGCCACGGTTGCTGGCATCAACGTATTGGGTGTTGAGTCCTTCAAAGGCATACCATACGCACAGCCTCCGATCGATCAGCTACGACTAAAGCCACCTCAGCCCATAACTTCCTCCCTGGGAAAGGTCGACGGAACCGGCATTCCAAAAGCATGCCCACAGTTCTTCTTCAGCATAGATGAGAGGAATATCCCCACCAACGTCTTAGGCACTATCCTAAACCTACCACTTCTTCAGACCGTCACAAATGCTGGAGAAGACTGCCTTACTATCAACGTACAGCGCCCCGCTGGTACCAAAGCTGGCGACAAACTTCCGGTACTATTCTGGATCTTTGGTGGCGGTTTCGAACTTGGATCTACTGCAATGTACGATGGAACAAGCCTTGTAGCCGAATCAGTCGCTCAAGGCAAGCCCATCGTATTTGTTGCGGTCAACTATCGCGTGGGCGGATTTGGCTTCATGCCTGGGAAAGAGGTATTAGCCGATGGCTCTGCCAATCTGGGGCTGCTGGACCAGAGGTTGGGCTTGCAATGGGTTGCTGACAACATTGCCGCATTCGGTGGAGATCCTGAGAAGGTCACAATCTGGGGAGAGTCTGCAGGTGCTATCTCCGTGTTGGATCAGATGATGCTCTACGACGGCGACAACAACTACAATGGCAAGCCGCTATTCAGAGCTGGCATCATGAACTCGGGTTCGATCGTTCCAGCTGATCCCGTTGACTGCCCCAAAGGTCAAGCTATTTACGACAGGGTATGTGTTCAATCCTACTCGTTGCTGCTAAGCACAATGCTAACTACTTGCAGGTCGTTGAAGCAGCTGGATGTGCCAGCTCTGCCGATACCTTGGCGTGTCTCCGCACAGTGCCGTACACCAAGTTCCTCAATGCCGTCAATACTGTCCCGGGTATCTTGGGCTACTTCACGGTCAATCTTTCCTACCTCCCTCGCCCTGATGGAAAGGCACTCTCGGATTCTCCCGATGCCCTTGTCAAAGCTGGAAAGTACGCCAAAGTACCTTTCATCGTTGGTGACCAAGAAGACGAGGGTACTCTCTTTGGTCTCTTCACTTCGAATTTAACTACGACCAAAGAAGTAACGACCTATCTCTCAACCATCTTCTTCCAGAATGCTTCACCAGCGCAAGTCGAACAGCTAGTAGGCAGCTACCAAACTATCACCGAGGACGGCTCGCCCTTCCGCACCGGCCTGCTCAACAACTTCTACCCGCAATTCAAGCGCGTCTCCGCTATTCTCGGCGACGTCACCTTCACCCTCACGCGTCGCCTCTTCTTGGAAGTCACCGGTCAAGTCGCACCCGATGTACCATCCTGGTCCTATCTCGCGACATACGATTTCGGTACACCCATTCTAGGAACATTCCATGGCTCCGACATCCTGCAAGTTTTCAATGGCATCTTGCCCAACAATGCCGCGAAGACTATTAGAGGTTACTACTACTCATTCGTCTACAACTTGGACCCCAATGAGGGCAACACTTTTATGGACTGGCCGAAGTGGAGTGAGGGCAGGAGGCTGATCAACTTTGGAGCGAATAAGAACAGCTACCTCGACGATGACTTTAGGGGTGATACCCATGACTTCTTGGCGCAAAACGTAGCGAGTTTGAGGGTTTGATCTCGATGATCTACATAGCACCTGACCTGCATGAATCCTTCGAAGTTGGGCATAGCAGCAAAAAGAAAAAAGAACAAAGTTTTCCCCAATGACCCCTTTCGCTCTCATGACCCACCGCTGATGGTTTGTTGTGAGCCGCATGACTCAACTACGTTGCTGTCCCCATTTTTTCCCCTCAGGCCGCAAACCGCCAAGTGCGTTTTCAGGCTTTTCGCCAATCTTTCCTTCGCGAATCTCGAACACCTTTCTGGTATGATATCAATCGTCGGTGGCCTAATCTTCTGTCACTGCGCGGCATCGAGTATGCCATCTGCATATCGCGAAGCTTTCGCTCATCAAGCAGCGCGGACCCGCAGATGTTCGTCTTTACAGCCACCTCCGTGGCTGCCCAATCATCGAGGATGCTGGCGTACATCTCACTGAAGAATGATGATCGTTGTCGCATTGATGGGCGGAGATACCACGGGTTTACTATGGAAATTGCACGGACGTTCTGTGGATCCAGCTCTGAGAGCCGTGCACACGCGTCACCTTCTCACATCACCGCGTTGAACGGAGCAGCCACGCGTACGAAGATTCCGAGTGGATTCTACAGACGGTGTAATATGGTTTTCTTTGCGCCGGCTTTTCATCCTTATACCAAAGGTGTATATGGATAGGAAGCTAATCTCGAAATTTCTGGGCTCATCGGCACACAAGCAACGCTTCGACGTACGTTTTGTATTCAGCAAGAACATAAAGCTAATAGATATCGTGAACAAAAGCGAGCGTGACTGACGATTGAGTACCGTGAAGGACAAGACCGAACCAAACAATTCAGCGAATGAATACCCAGAAAAGCTGTTTAGCACCCCTCTACCGTATCATTGGCGATGACTACCAGTCACACGTAACGACGGCATGACGATAAATGCCCATCATGGAATCTGAACAGCCCTCAGCTCCACTCTTATATCTCACCTCCTCTGCTTTGCACTTGATCTCTCGGTCCTTAGGCAAAGCGGGTTCGCCTTGCTTTGTAGGTGGTGCATCCCAATCTTGGCACCAAAGAGATCCAGGATTGGTTCCATCGTTGAGATAGTCGCAACTACTGCTGTCGATGAGGTTGCCCATCTCGTACGTACCAGCAGGCCAAGGTGGGTTATCGACATTGCCGTCTGCCGGTACAGTTTTCATGGCTTGCGTGTCAAGACGACATTCGGAGGACTCGCCGTAATCGCTATTGAAGAACAACCAGGTGTTCTCGTTCGAGATATCATCGATGTAGTTTTGGGAAATGATAGAAAGCGCTTTGTTCTTGCGTGACGGTGTTGCCGAAGGCACAGGGCTCGGTGAAGTTGGACTCGAGTCGTTCGGGCTTTCATCGTCATCGTCATCGTCATCGTCATCGTCCCCGTGGTCGGCTTTTGTCGCCCCGTTCCAGATCACACGAATGTTGCTGCCAGAAGCCCTCACCCAGCTCGAATGCTCACTGGTGACATAATCACGAATGGCTTTGACGCGCTCCACACCAGTCTTGCTGTCGTCCCAAGGTTTGGTCGAGTAGGACAGGTATGTAGCAATGAGGCCCGCGACCTGAGGTGCGGCTATATTGAAATCGCAGGTCAATATCAAGTGCTTCTCAGCCGCACTCTTGGGAGACATCGCTTACCTAACGAAGAGCCACTTGCAACTGTTCGCTCCTCGTCCACCTTTGATTGGCAATCAACTCGATCACCCAGCGCATAGATACTGACAAGTGGACCGGCTTGCGAGAAGTCGGCTCGATTACCTTCATCGTCGCAACCGCCGACGATGATGAGAGGGATGTCGTCATCGTGAAGAACCATTGGAATTTGATCAACATCTTTTCGGTTCGGCTGCTTGGCTGCGTTGCCTGCGGATGCGACAAAAGGTACCCCAAGTTTGGATAGTGTGCGGAGATCATCTCCGTACAGTTCTTGCATCTGTTTGTCGTTCTTAGCTGCCTCAGGTGTGATTCCGCCCAAGCCGATGGCAATTGATGTGGTCACCACGCTCCGCGAAGCACGGCCTGGGTGACTGTTGATGTCTCTCAGAATCAAATGCATGATGTTCTCCCAGTCGCCAGATTTGGGGTACATTTTTGATGACACAAGATTTGCCTGCAGGATGTGACCAGGATGTCAGCGAGCCGTTGTAAACACACAGTAGATATCTAGATAGACATTCAAGACCATGAAAGAGAAGGTCATGCCTAGGAAAGCTCCTCGGACAAAGGATAGGCTCTAGAAGACTTGATAAGGTCACAAAGCGTCAACAACGTACCTCTTTTGCAAGCCCATACTTCTTGCCCACGGCTTTTGACGCGACATAAGTCCCGTGCGATGGCTTGTCAACATTGTCATCCGAATCTGGACTTTGGTGGTTTTCGATAGATGCGCTGGATTGGAGTACAAGGTCGTTATCTGTCGTGAACTCTGACTCCTCGTCACGCTGCGATGACATTATTAACGATGTGAAAGACTTGGGCTCATATACTTACATTCTTGACTTTGATCTGGACGCCCATGTCTATCAAATATACATATACATCCCTGCCAGGATTCTCCGGATACACAAAATCGGTGGCCTGGCTGAGTGAACCCCCCCTAGATCGTACACTTTTAGTTGGCTAATGAGACATGTGGAGATATATCATACGTACGGATACAGACTATCCATCAGCAGAGCATCATCGGCGTTTTCCTGTTTCTTCCATGTCAAAGCTCTGGAAACGAGCTTTTCTCTTCTGTCAATCGCCTCTGACCGCTTGTGCACTGCATCGAGTGACTGCTCAGCCGGGAGAGCCCGTAGAGATATCACGGGAAGCTCTTCCATCATACCGGAAGTGTCTTCGTGATTCTCTACCTCTTTCTTTGCCTCCTGTGTCAAGTTGAGACTTCCATACCCGAGGATCTTGTCGTCCGGTCCGATCTGATACATCCAGGAACCAGGCACCACCTTGCTCTTCAAGAAATCGTGGTAGGTCTTGATGTTGATATCTTTCTTTACCAGAGCTATGTATTCCTTGATGTCTCGGCGGGAAATAGAGTGTTCTTCGCGGGTTGGTGGAGAATCATGGCTGGCACCCTCATCTGCGTTACCATGAACTGCAGTGCTACGGTGATGCGTCGGCTCATGTCGCGACAAGAGGTCGCTGGTCAGTGCGGGAGCTTTGGCTATGCCGGGTTGTTGCTCGACAGGAGAGACGTCTTCCCTTTGCTCAAGCGCAGCATTGTTCTCAGCGTCTCTAGTTGTAGCGTCAGCTAGATACGTCGGGATGAATGCCTGCGCAACGCAGAGCAGGAGGCTGAGATGAAGAATGCGCATTTGTAATTATGCAAGAATTGGTTCGAAGAAGTAAGCAAAAGATAAGATGCGAAGTCTGGTTTGTGTGTATAGGTGGGACAATTGGTGCAAGTAATGGAGATGTAGTTTAGCCATACTGGAGACTGTCATTTCTCTTAATACTCAATGTCAGAGGGACCTTCAGCCCCAGAGACTCGGGTTTTGGGTCCGAGTAGGCGTAATGATGCAACCAGCGCCCTCATGCTGTTGAGCGGCGTGAGTTCACCAGGGCCTACTGTCTTGAACCGAAACGCCTGTCGTGCAACCATTCACATATGGCATGCCATGGAGTTTACATCCGGTTTAATTCTCAACCATGCAAGGCTCCATTGGAGTGCGGGTAGGCCATTACGGAGATCATCAACTGTGCCAGTTCCGTGGCAGGCGCACATATCCATGGAGCTGTTTGATCGGCCTGTAGATGCTTCGATAATCGGGGCGGAAAGTTGCGACACCGTCATGTTTGACACAGCAGGCAGCACTTCATAGAAGGGGCCAGATCTCGAGACGAGGCCATGATGTCGTCGGCAATGTGATGCAGCATGAGTGGAGTTGAGTGGTAGTACAGCGGCCCCAGCATCTTAATAATTGACAAAGAGGCATAGTCAATGGAAGCACTATGAAACATGAGATGACCAGAGTTGGGACGCATGTCTACGTACTTGTTGGGGGAGTTCGCCATGATGGGGCAGCATGTGGGAAGGATGACGTCGCGTAATGATCCAGAGGCGACACGAGAGATGCTGCTTTGCGGCGGGTCGCTAACGAACTCAAAGTCGATTCATGGTGATGGGGATGTTGGTAAGACGGCAGCGCGGGGCTAAGGCGACGAAGTTCGGCTAATAACGGATGACGTATGTTAGAGAGCTGTGCCACACGATATTGCAGGTATGCGTTTTCGGCTGTTGATCGAATGCTTCGATTAGATTAAACAGAACTACGAGCGCAAACGCCACCAGCCCATGATAGTTGGCTACATGCGATCATGACACAGTGTCGGCGTTTAAGCGGGGGCCGACCTCGCATCAAATGATGGCGCAGGCGATGGTGAATGGAAGCGAAACGGAGGTCAAGAACGCCGTCACTGGTACGCGCGGGCGTGCATCAAGAGGGTGGAATGAAGACTGGATGAATCTTGTGTGTATTAGAAGTGCCAAAAAGCTAGACTCGCATGGAAGGTGAGCCCAAGCAATCGTGGGTAATCACGTGACAGAATGATTCTACGCCTCATACACCAGAGTCATCCTGCAGGATACCAACAGACCCGCTATGAGCCTTCCAACTATCGCACTGGCTCTCCAATGCATCCTTGTCGGTTATTCCAGCGATCTTGTCGTACTGCTCAACGAACTGCATGGCGAAGCCCTCGGATGTGTGCCAGCCCTGTACGAATGTTAGTAAAGTGATACAAGTGCAAATGAAGAGGGCTACGTACGATGTGGCAGTGCATCAACCACGCTCCGGGGTTGTCTGTCTCGAAAGCGATGACAAGGTAGCCCGATGCTGGCAGCATCGCGGTGTCGCGGCGCGGTGGGTTATCTAGCTTGAGAGCAACGTCATCGGTGTACTCTCCCGTACCCTGAGCGATGATGAAGAAGTCGTGGCCGTGCAAATGAATGGGATGGGGTACTCCAATGTTGGTGCTGATGACTACGTACACGAACTCGTTTTCGCGCGGTAGGTGGAAGACGGCGTTGGAGGCCTCGAACGTCCGTTCTTTGCGCATGACTTGCATAAGCGTGGGGTCGTCCCAGTACACAACCATGGATGTGCTGTTGAGAGCCCATTTGAACACGTTCTCGTCGTTGCGGCCGACAGATACAGGCTCATCGGCTGTGGACGACGTTGCTCCGACGGTCTTTGGGATGTGCGGCACAAGGTTCTCGGTCTCGTCGGAGCAGCTGTCTTCGTAGTCGTATGCGGAAGTGCTTGGCGTTCCAGCCGAGCCACCATAGTAGACTATACCGCGAATGTCGTCTTCGTTGTCGTTCTCGGAGCATGCGGACTGCGGAATCGCGCGCATCCAGAAGTTGTCGGCCACGTCTCCCTGATCAGCTGTTACGATGACGTCGTATCGTTGACCCATACCGATGCTAACAATGGTAGCTTCATAAGGTTCGATAGGTACAAGATCGGATGCAATGACAGTCATAGTGTGGTTGTCGATCATGAACTTCCAGTGGGTGTCGACAGCGGCATTGACGAGGCGGATACGATAAGAAGTTCCAGCTTCGAAGGAGACGTTGTAACGATGGCCGCCGTCTCCAAAGGTGTTGGTACCGTTGATCAGACCATTGTCTAGAACTGGCGGGCCATCCATCTCGGCAGAGAGGTAGAGTTCATCAACTGTTTGGTGATCCCAGTCGTTAAGGAAGAGCATGCCCAGGTCCTCGTCGTAGTTCGCCGTCGCAGGTCCATTGATGACGATACCGCCAAAGACACCCTGCCAAGCCTGCAGCGCAAAATGCGAATGATACCAGGTCGATCCGTGCTGGGTGGCTCTCCAGGTGTAAGTCATCGACTCGCCTGGTGCTGTTGGGCATTGGGTAATGGAGCTCACACCGTCCTGGTCGTTGGTGTTTTTCTGCCAAAGACCATGAAAGTGTATGCTCGTGCCGTTGTTGGATGTCGTAAGGGAATTGGTGACATGGACAACCACTGTGTCGCCCCAGTCTGCGATGAGCGTTGGCCCTGGTATAGAGCCATTGATGGCCATCGCTGTCCGAGATACGCCATCAGGCGCTACAACAACATCGGTGAGTTCGAGCCAGTACTCGCGGGTCACGCCAGTGTCTGGAATCTCGATGGACGCGTCGGTATCGACGGAGTGATCACACCACTCCGAGCGTGTGGAAGCAGTGTTGCCATCGCATGCTCTTCTTGGCACTGGAAATGGTTTAGCCAACGTGCCTCTGCATGGGGATGAGATGCAACTTACTCAAATTCGAAACGAAAGGCGAAGAGGCCGCAAAGCCAGTCAAGGCTGCAAGACCGAAAGCGCCTCGTAACAACATGATGTAAATGCCTAAAAGGTTTTTGACACTGGAAGAAAGATGATATGTAGAGACAACGCGCAATGATCAACGAAAGACGAAAGACTCTAGAAAGAAGCTCCCAAAGAGTGATCTGAGCTCAGTCAAACGAACGTAAAGACAAGCTGATGGTTCTCAACAACACAACTCTATTACGGCCTTTATATCGTCCTTGCATCCTACCTTCATGGCCTGTCTTATCCGAGGAATCTATTAGGGGCACAACCTGTGCAGTTTACAACGACTCAAGGACGTCATGATAAAATCGAAACTTTCGCTCGTATTCTTCTTTCGTGATGCTCCGTAGATAGTCTCATTGTTTATCGTGGGTCAAGACTACCCTGATCCCTACTCCAAACTTCAGACGCCCCTTAGGGCATCGCTTGGCGTAGGTAGGCCGGCTGCTCGGTGATCTGCTAGTGGTATTGTGCATCTAAAAACGGCCGTGGGGTTACTGAGTAGTATGCGCAAAGTCTACCGGTGCATCAGGTGAGCCCCCACTCGATCGGTGCCATTCCGCCGCATCTGCCCATGGCATTATCGATTGTTGAGAAATCTTCGCGCATTGTCGGAATTTGCTGACTCGGAATCGGAGGAAGGAAGCGCCGCGGAAGGGCCGTCCATGATGACAGGTCGGCGCGCCGTTGTCGCTGGGTTGTGCCAGGTACTCAGTGGAGTGAGGTACATGAAGTCGAATGGACAAACTCTTCGAATATCCACTGAAAAACGGGTAGAATCTGCGTTTGAACGGTTCGATCGGTACCTAGAGAGATACGCGACAGTGGGGACGACAAGCATTCTTTAGCCTGAGCTTGGCAGTGCCAAAAATAAGACCCGCTCCGACTCACACTACGTATCACATCTGTGCTTTGAGTGGCTGAGGCGACGTTCCGCCTCAATATTGAAACAAGTGAAGTCAGGCAGCATGCAACCCTCGATAGCGCAGTTCGCACTGTACGAGGGCGGGTCTTCGTAACCCTAGAGCCCTTCGGAGGCCTCCCAATGTAGTATACCAAGAGATATGGTTTTCACTCGAGGCGTCATGAGTATACATGGAGACGTCGTAGTGCATCTGAGTCGCTCAGGGGACTGCAGAGATAGAGACTGACTCGGCCGATGTATCGAGCGTAATAAGGACATTGGCACTGCTGATTGTTAGCTGTTGCCACCACTCTTCACATTCTTGCTGCATCTCTGACGCTCTTTAAAATATTCTTCAACGTACACTCCTTCATCATGCATATCGCCATGCGCAGCGCACTGCTGGCTCTGCTCCCGCTCGCAGTGTTGGGCGCCCGCAAGCGTGATGTCGCTTCTACGCCTTTCCAGCTGTATGCATACAGTGAAGACATTGGTGGCTTGCCACTCTTCTATGCCGATGGTCTTGCATACCTCGGAGAGCCTGCTCTTTCCAACAGTACCGATGCTGCTGTCGTAACCTGTAAGTTCGGCTTTTTCGAGCCATCGCGTACCCAAGTTCATCCCAACTAATAGACATAGTTACAATCGATGCCAACAAACACTTCATTGGAAACCCCAACGCTACCACCGCTACCGGTGGACCCACCTGGTCAAACACAGCTCTCTTCATTCCTTCCTCATCATCGGTCGACAGGCGCGTGGGCTTTCTCCCATCCAACAACGGCACTGGCAACACCACGACACAAACATCGGGTTTCGCTTTCTACGGTTCAACGGTGATGTTGTATGGTGAAGATGGTACGGTTGCCACGTCATTCTACGGCATGAAGGCTGAGAACGGCCTGTATGAGCTGCATTGGAATGACACGGAAGGCAAGGTGCCTTTGACACTTCGGAGCATGGCGCCTAGCAGTGAAGCGTCGAAGCGACGTTGAACAGATGTTGTTGCGACGTGGAAGGTTCTCGCAAAGTTGTCGTTCCAAGAGGCGTTAGGCAGGGAAGCTATGGGTAGTAGTAATTCTGTATCAGCGGACTACAAATGTGATCGGTAATACACCAGTCTGCAACTCCAGGGCTGATACTTTACATCGTCATTCTGCTTCGTTCCACTCGCAAGTTGCCAACAACCAAGTTCTCATCAAGTTCTGCGAGCGGCTTAATGCTCACAGAAGCTGTAAGTCGCCCTCTGCCATCCTTTCTCTGCGGTCTGGACAAACGCGCCCCTTTCCTGCATAAGCTTTTTGCGATGCTCACTTGCCTCTTGAAAACCCATAGGAAGGGAGTGCTTGGCTTCTTCGAAGTATTCGCGCACGTAGGCCATGAGCTCTTCAGGCAGTCGACCTTCCGTAGTGACAGAAGGACTTGCGAGTCCCTTCTCGGCTAGCAGATTGATGAGGTCTGGGGGGAACTTCGACAACGCTTCTTGGCGCGTTTTGTCGCTTGGTCCAAGTAGCGAGTCGACGTACCAGTCCATTTGTTGAGGCGGAATATTCGCCGTAGAGACGATGCGCTTCGTCGGATCGACAAGCCAAAGTGCAATAAAGCGACGATGGCCGGGCTTTGTAGGGTCGATGAGACTGAAAGGAGAAACACGATGTTGACTAACATACGTTAGCCCTAGGCAGTGTCCGAACAGAATCTTGACCGACTTACAAGACATTGGAGAAAGCTAGCAGCCGACCCTCACGCGTTTGTACGTTCCCGTAATTCTGCAAACATGGCGAATTCCCACACCCAAAGCCAGTGCCGTACACGTGCTCCATCCAGTGATAACAGTCTTGTCCAACGTCGAAACCCTCGTCATCCTGTAGGTAAGCAGACGTCTGCATGCGGAATGAGAGGCTGTTGTCAGTGATGTTATCACTGTCCAGGTAGTACAGGGCAGTTGCGCAGATGTTTTCGTTCATCTGCCCCTCGATGTGCCATCCACCCACAGGAAAGTCCGGCTTCTCGGGCGTGAGTTCAATCGAGGCCATCTTGACAATGACCTGAAGTCCCGTATCGCGAAATCTATCAGCAAGACGCTTGCCTGGTTGCGGTGCGTAGGATACGTCGTTGAAGGGAATTGGCATGATACGAGGTTTGCGGACGATCTTCCACTTGGCCTCCAGCAACTCTTCTTGGCGATCCTCATCGTTGTCGTAGTAATCCTCGTACCCTTCTTCCTCCAGGTCTTCTTCGCTGGCTTCCACATCACCACACTCTTCTTTATTGGGCGTCCAATTCTCTTCGTTCTCGTCACTACGCAACGGGACATTAGCAGCTGCAAAGTTCGAAGACATTACTTTGACTTACTCAGGATTCTCGGGTTTACCGGTGCGAGTTTCCATACGACCGGCCCCTTCAAACTTGTGATAGCCGACTGCAAACCGCAAACACTGATCCCACATGGGTATGGATGTTTCGACCAGCTTTTCGATGGTACGATATATGCCGGGATATCTCGTAGGGTGAAGATTGTTGATGTAGCTGGTAAACTTGACAGACCCATCATCCTGAAAAGCCACATTGGCCGGCAACCATTGGTATCGATTGGACCAGTACTCCGGCGGGATGCTGCTGCCTCCAACGCTATAATCATGTCGGTTTTGCGCTGTAGTCGTTTCGAGCCCCTGCTGGGGGACGACCTCGCCCTTGCCAGCCCAGCGCTCTACAGCGTCCGTCACACCAACCTTCTCCTCACGAAAGCCAGAACTGCGCCCATATACCAATGGGTACATAGACGGGTGTACCAGATCCTGCACCATACTATTCGAGTTGGGATGCCAATCAGGAGATGCAGCGTGGTCCGACTTGAGCTGGTCAAAAGCTTGGCGAAGCTTGGCGTGTAGCTCGCTTGTAACGAGCGTGTCAGACTTGGCTACGGAAGCGCTTGCGTCGAGAGAAGGTATGATGCCCGATTGTTCGAAATATTTGGCTTTGCTGCGAAGCTCTTGAACACACTGCATAGCGTTAGTGATGAAGACTATTTAAAAGCAATAGTAACGTACGGTATCGAATGTACCTTCATCCAAGATATTCTCGAGTATGCAAGACTGCCTGTCGTCATGAAGCTCGAGCCGGTCATCGTCGTGGGTCCAATACTGGCTCTTCGCAGCGGTAGCCAGGTGCCAAAAGTGTTGGTCAGGAATGGCGAGGGCCTCATTACGCCACTTGGCAACGATTTCATCATCAAAGACCTTCTGATGCCAGTCGGGCTTATCGGTGAGTTTTTCCAAAACATCCATCACGGCAAGCTCTCGCACAGGGATGATCTCTGATTCGCTTCCATAGGCATTGTGGTGGGAACCGATCGGATAGAAGCCGTAGTTGCTCCATTCCCAATTGCGAAGAGGTAGTCCGAATCCAGGATATTCGTTCATGGGTTTGCCAGAAGTCCCAGTCATTGTTGTCTTTGAGCGAGTGGAAAGTTGTGATCTTATGAATTCCGTGTTGATGCTGCGCTGAAACGGGGCGTTTATCCTCATTGCTTTATACGAATGGAGGTTGGTAACCAAATCGCAAGAGGGCCAAGTTTTTGATGCACTAGCGCAGGCAACTTCGTGCTGCCTGAGCTGTTAGAGCGAAATAGAGCGAGATGGGGTCTTTGGCGTGTTGGAGGCCTAGCCTTTACCCGTCGAGGATGCGCCACGGAAACGGACGGAACTACACGCGAGGGGAACCGCGACTCGTGCCATCGATGCATTGCGACGATGATGTTCGCTTGAGAAGAATGGCATCAGTGCAGACATGTCGTTTAGCTTAGGGCGAAATGCGAAGCTGATGTCTGCGAGGCAATCGTGGAGAGCTGGCGGCATTGTCGCGTCACGCGTTCCGAGATCTGTGCGTTAGTGGCCCCCGCATGTGCGCTAGATGTCTTGGCACCGCCGCAAAATGCTGTCGCTGCAATGCATCAAGCACACCTACTTTCGGCAGCATCGGCTTCTTATAGGCCTTTATACCCGTGATCTTCTTAGAAACATCGAAAAGTGTTTGAGTATACCTGGTAAGACTCCGACACACCACTGTACCGAAAAGGATGTCATACCTATAATAAAAGCAAGTTTGCACAGATGTGTGCACCGCTGTAATTATCTCTATAGAGTGCGCCACCACTACGGCCAAGTACACCGGCATGATATGCATCAAAGACCAACTTACTCAATTGTGCTTTGTGTATACCTTCACATACTTCACATGCTCATTACCCTCCGCATCCTCATAACGTTCACTGACGATCTTATATCCTCCAAGCTTCGGCCAGATCTTCGTCCAGCAAAGCCAGTAGAATCCACCTAGTAGCAGAACGCTGACACCAACAACCGGGAATACGTAATATGGGTAGCCGTCTGCGTTCCAATCGCCATCCGGAGGAATGAAGGGGACCAGTGCGAGGAAAATGTTTGCAGCCAGGTAAAGAACGGCAATGGGGAGATAGGTGTGCCATGGCGACTCCCAACGTTCGCGCTTGGAGTAGTGTAGGTAAATGAGACCGGCAGTGACGAAGCCGTTGATCCAAGCGCCGGGGTAGGTGTACAGATCGGTGATGAAGTTGTACGCAGGACCAGCAGGGGGCGCAAGCAGTACGATGACTGTAATCAGCCAATGCAAGAACAAGGCTGTCGCCGGCGAATTGAATGGCTTGTTCGACGCCCAGAATCTGCTCCACGGAAGTAGACCCTCTTTTGCAAACTCCTGGTTGAGGCGTGAATGGGCAAAACTGACGGCGAGTACGTTGCCTAGATTGCTGAGGGCAACAAAAGCGGGAAGACTGCGCGCTCCAGCGCTATTACCAAAAACGTTGCGGAAGAACAGGCCAGCCACAATTACCTCACTCTTCGCAAGATCGGACTTGGGGATGGCAGCGAAGTAAGCCACGTTCGCGAGGACGTACAAGATGGTAGTTCCGCCGATTGCCAGGGGTGCAGACCAAGCCAGGGTTTTCTTCGGGTTCCGAATCTCGCCCAACACATAGTTGGCATTTTCCCAGCCTTTGTAGGAGTAAATGATGCGCAACAGAGCTTGGCAGTAAGCATAGGCGCCGCCGCCACCATAGCCATCACCGACTTCCAGCGCGAAGGCGTTGTCGAAGTTGTGCGGCTGTTCGATCTTCAGATGACCAGCCAAAGCAGCAAAGCCAGAGAAGACGATGAAGAGTAGGATGAAAACCTTGAACACGCCGAGAATGCTGAAGAGGCGTATGCCCCATTTCGGTAACGTGGCATGGAGCACAACCGAGAAAGTGACACAAGCAACGGCTATGCCACGCGCCGCCCAGCCATCGGGTGCTTCCGAACCAGCTGCGAACAGTACGTAGCGACCGAAAGCGAGCGAGTTACCGGAAGAGAATCCGAGCAACAACATCTGCGCAGCAAGAACGCATGTCGCAACGTATTTAGGGTGACGGTAGACGCGCTCCAGATAGTTCTTCTCGCCGCCTGAACGTGGGATTGCGAGACCGAATTCCAGAAACACGGATAGCCCACAGAATGTGAGAATGCCGCCAATGATCCACAGGAAGAGTGACACGCCGACCGACCCTGTTGCTGCAAAGATACCAGAAGGAGTCGAGAAGACTGCAGCAAGTAAGCAGCCATTCGAGCGTATGAGCATGAAGAGTACGTACTACCAGTGCCGATCATCTTATTCAGGATGACAAAGACTGTGGCCGTGTAGCCCAGCTTCTGGGAATCGTCGTAAACATAGGCATTGTCTTCCTGTACGCTGCCATCTTCGTAGACCGGTGGGGAAGGCGAGGTTTCATCGTTGGTGTAACGCGCGACCTTTGCGTCGTCGTCAGCGATCGCGGCCATACTTGGGCTTTGCTAGGAGCACCAGTGGTACCAATAGCTCGCGTCTAGTTCGTGATCAGAATACAGCCGAAGCGATCGCTACGAATGGTTTGCGCAGAAGATAGACGGTTACGCGGTGGCCGGGATCTTGTAGGGTCATATAGCCGTCTGTAATGGCGCGATAACATGGTTGTAGCATGCCACGCGAATTAAATTGCGAATGCACTCCTTCCATGTCGCGATCAGCAAGCGCTGCAACATTGCGAGGCTTGAGTTGCTTGTGGTGTCCAAAGCTGGTCGCTCCCAAGAACCCTGAAAAGGAAGGTGAAGCATGTCGCTGGTTGGAATGTCTTGGAACATCCTCTCAACGATGCGCAGAAAAGGCAAGGGCGATGTCGTGATCGCTGGGCATTATTAGCCTACCACCAAAGTACTTGGCGCATTCTGAATGCCTTGTAATGCACTTCAAGGCGCCTCATGTCCGTCTTATGAAGATTTGGGAGTCTTGTAGAGTAAGGAACCGTTGTCATGAGTGTTCGCGGCGCGAAAGGGACAGTCCCGAGGTCTCTAGGGAGCGGTGTCGCTCGAATGACGAAATTGGTTCACGTGGTTAAATGCGCGCGCCGCGGCGAGGGCTTCAGGTAGTTAGCTGATGAGAGTGAACAGAGCTTGACGTGGAGTTGAGGGTTGAAAGCAGCTGGGGATGTCTCCGCGTGTCTGGTGCCAAACCTCGGAACTCCCGGCGACGTAATTTCCGGGCTGGCGCCGGCAATAGAGGGGGCTCACGAGCTTACACTTCTTCAACACCACAGACGGCTGGCTCCTTCTACAACCTTAGCTCAAATCCCATATATGCCGTAACGCACCAGAGGCCTCGATACTGAAAAACTTCAGATGGACGTCTTCGTCGCAACTACCTAGGTACAACGTTGGCTGGACTCCTGCTAGCGGTGTCCTAGCTGGAACAGAATCATCATCGCATCGCTTTGAAGCGCTTGCGAGGCAGCTCAGCTTCGACATTCATGCAGGCACTAATCTCTGCTATCCTAGATATCATCACAGTTTCATCTCAGGTCGTCTTTAGCCCACGATCTTACGCGTCATTGCGTCGCATAAACAAGCTTCAGTAAGCTCTGTGCCGAAGCTTGACCAACGCCACGAAAGCCTCACAGACAGCACGGAACATGCCTACTTAACGGCGTTTGACCATGGCTCGTTGCTCGCTCTCCGCGTCGGTTTGTCGGCTCTTATGGTGATGTGAGATCATCTCCGAGGCTTGTTAGTGATCGGCTTAATTGGTGGATAATTTCCTCCATCTTCCCCACGTTCTCCGGATCTCTCTGGGTGGATACTCCCCGCGCTCGATACACCTGGTAAGCATGCTGATTGGAGGCTTTGAACGGATAATTGATACTAAAGGCGCACTTGCGGCTGATGATGGTGCTCAGGGCACAACGGTAACCGGGCATTGCGGATGTCTTGAGCCACATGGGAATCCCAACCCCAGGAGTGCGGATACGATGAGTTGATATAAAGTGCAGGCCAAGCCTCAGTCTGCCAAACGGCGCGCATCCTTTTTCGGGCCGTGCGGAAACTTCAGCCTTTCACCATGCATTGGACCACACTCCTCCTTGGCCTGTTCGAGGCATGCGCTGCTATATCGACTGTCAACCGCAAAGCGTGCCAGTATCCAACTAAGAAGCCACTGGACGGTTGCCCTCAAAACACGATTCTGGTGGGCCCTGGTCGCAACTTCTCTACAATTCAGTCGGCAGTACTCAGCTTGCCGGATGACACAACACCTCATCACATCCTGGTCCTTCCTGGAAACTATACTGAGCAAGTAAATGTTACTCGGCCCGGTCCCGTTTACCTTTTTGGTCAAACCAAAGCGCCCAACGACCAGAGCAAGAACACTGTCAAAGTGATATGGCGCAATGCAACTGGAGCTGGCCTATCAACATTGGACAATGCATATACTTCCGTCCTCACCGTTGCGCCAACCTTCAACTCGAGTAAAACTGGCACAGGACCTACCGGCGACCCCGTACCTGCAGGTACACCTTTTGGAAACACCGACTTTCGCGCATACAACATAGATTTCAGCAACTTGTATGCACCCTACTCCGCTGGTCCAGCCCTGGCAGTCTCAGTGAGCTACGCAAACACCGGCTTCTACTACTGCGGATTCTACTCCTACCAAGATACCGTGTACGTCGGCAAATTAGGCAACGCGTACTTCTATAAGAACGAGATAGCAGGACAAACCGACTTCTTCTACGGTTTCGGCACCGCGTGGATTCAGTCCAGTCTTGTCTCCCTTCGTAACTGTGGCGGCGGCATCACAGCATGGAAGGGTACCAACACGACCTTTGTGAACAAATACGGCGTCTACATCCACGACTCCGACGTGAAGAAGGCCAATTCTTCCCTCTCCATAACCGGCCAGTGCGCACTGGGCCGCCCATGGAACGCCCAGCATCGTTCCATCTTCGCAAATTGCTATCTTGATGATTCGATTCAGCCCAACGGGTACATCAAGTGGGGTACTACGGATCCAAGGGTGAACTTCAACACCACGATGGCGGAGTACAAGGACTACGGGCCTGGGTGGAATGAGACTGCGCGACTGGCAAGCAATGTTAGCATTGTCATGGACAAGAAGCAGTATGAGCCGTATTCGACGCTGGATAAGGTGTTTCAGTATCCGTTTTCGGGGGAGTTTGGGAACACGGCTTGGATTGATAGACATCCTGAGAGATGATGTGGATGACGAGAAGCTAGATAATGCAGTCTTTGAATCTACAAGCTCTGGAACGACGAGCATGCCCCAGAAAGCACCCAAAGATACCGATCTACAGAACACTCCCTACAGAGAGCGGGTCTTCGATGCGAGCCACCACGAAAAGTACTTTCCGCAGTTCGTACCTAATTGTATTAGTAACAGATATTGATGAATTTTGGATGCGTCCACTTACACAGCATGCTATCGCAGCCGCCGTCCTTCTCTATGTCCGTACTACAATGAGGGCATGGTCTAGTCAGATCCTTGATAACCTCTAGGGACTTATCTTCCTCCTGGACGCGGTCCTTGATGCGGTATTGGTATGCTTCGCATGACTCGCCTTTATGATACGGCCGATTGCAAGGTATACAAGCGCGTTCTCCGCACTTGGTACACGTACATATGTTCTCTTTCGTGTTTTCCCAATCTTCTTTCGAGATACTATCGTGTGTTTGTCCGGCGTCGCAATTTGGATTCAGACACCAACGCCACCCAGCGGTTCTATTGGCCTCGTACGTTCGCTGTAGAGTTTCAAATCTCGCATACATGGCTAGCGTAGTGGCGATTTCGATATTAATAGGCCTCATGATGGCTGAGCATCCCTCTTCCGGGCACGCGATACCCAATGTCTTCTTCTCGTCCGACGTAGTTGTGATGTTAGCGTCCTTGATCCGAACATCCACGTGCTTCTGAAGACACGATTTACACGTGTTTATCTCATGGTCGCACTCAGCGGAAGGGTTGTACTTTGGAAAGAATTTGTTCATTCTATTGGTGTCGCAGATCTTGCAGTGATAACGTGCCGGCTTTGGTTTCTTGACTGGTGGTGACGATGCGTTGTTAGTATCATCGTCTCTCTTTCGTTTCGTGCCCCGGGAAGTCGCTTGGACAGTTGACATGCTGGTTTGCTTGAGACTCTCGAGAGCGACGGGATAAATAGGATTGATCAGGGCCTTAAATGCTCACCTAGGTAGTCATTGCACTTCTGAAAAAGCGAGAAGATTGACGAAGGAGCAAGAGTGTTCTTGGAATGCACAACTCAAGCAGAACAGATGAAGCATTGGGTCTGCAACCTTCTCGCTGCCTCTCACCCAGTCTTCGCAGCACTATCATACGCCTTCCAGATCAATCCCTCAGGCAAAACCCTCCACTGCCCCTCCCCGTCCAGCAACCCCCCCATCTTCGCCCACTCCTCCCTCACAACCCTCTCCCTCCCCCCATCCCTCGGCACAATCCTCGCTTGAAAAGGACGCGGCTGCACCAACATACCCTCCGTCAAATCATCTGCATCAGGCATAAGCACACCGCCCTCCCCATCACTCGCGGGATGGAACTCAAACGCCCAAAGCAACCGCGCAATAGCCAGAAACAGCGACCGCTCCGCAATATGCATACCCTGACACAACCTCCGCCCCGCCCCAAAAAGAAAATGATCCCGCTTCTCCGCATCAGCGTTATTCGCCGCTTCCGCCGCCGTCTGCCCATCCTCATAATACCTTTGTGGATCAAATCTCCGCGGATCAGCATGCCGAGCGGGGTCGTTATGGATGGCCCAAACATTCCACAACACACCCGCGCCTTTGGGGATCTTGTACCCCATGTACTCGTCATCCCGGATTACGGCGTGGGGGACGCCGAGGATGGCGGTGGGCATCCAGCGCATGCTTTCTTTGACGCAGCCGCGTATGTAGGGGAGGTGCGGTAAGTCTGAGAGGGTGGGGAGGCGGGGGCCGCAGATATGGTCGAGTTCTGAGCGGGCGGTGGCGGAGACGGTGGGGAAGAGGATCATGGCTTGGATGACTTTGGGGGTTAGTGCGGTCATCTTTGGGTGATGGGGGGTAGGTTTACGCACAGCCGATGAGCGTGGCGGATGTGGTGTCTGATCCTGCCTCTAGCAACGAGCCGCTCACGTAACCTGCGAGCTCATCTGAGAAGTTCTCCTCGTCCTGCGCGCGTACTAGGTCGACGCAGAAGCAGGGTTTGGCAGTCCCGTTTTTGATTGCTTTCTTTACGTTTAGCCAGTGGCCGACGTATAGCTCACTCTCTTTTTCGTGCAATTCCTTTGCGTACTTTCGTAGGGGAAGCGCGAAGTCGGGTAGTGAGCGCAGGATTGGGAAGAGGTCGACTAGTTTTGCTGTAGTCTCACCCATGAGTTCGGAAAACTTCTCGAAGCCCTGTGGTGGTGTTAGAGAGATGAGGGGGTCTCGCATTCTGACTCACGGAATAGAGTTGTTTCAACTTGGGATCGTCGATGCTTGTGGTGCGGAACCCGAAGATCATCTGCGTGGTCAAAGAGTTTGTGTAACGGCGGATGTGGTCAATGAAGAGATCTGGACTTTCCAGGAAGCCGACGAGCATCGCTTTATTCTCCAGCTCTTGGTATGGCACATATGTACGCGCCGCCTTGATATTGAGGTTGACATGAACAATCTTCCGAATCATGCGCCATGTATCGCCGTACGGCTACCGCAATCAGCCCAACCCCCAATCGGAAGTAGCGAAGAAGCTTACCATAAGCAACATACGACACCCACCGCTCACAATCTGCCCAAGATACATATCCGCACGCGACGAATATATCCCGCTCCGTTTATCAAGCAAGTCCTTCACAGCCTGATCGGACGATAACACGACCATGACCTTCGTCCCGAGAATAAGCGAATACACGGGCCCGTATTCTTCAGCCCACTTTTGGAATTGTAGATGCGGCTTTTCTTTCGGCATTAGATGCAGGTTTCCTATGATGGGAAGTGTTGGTGGGCCTGGAGGGTAGTTGGCGGGCCTGCGACCGACGTTGCGGAGGCTGTAGGCAGCTACTGCTACCAGGGCAGTTAGTAGAGCGTAGAGTGCGAGAGACATGGTGATGTGAAGAAGTGTTGAATGATTGCAGAGTGTTCCAAACCTGCCGTAGGAATCGAACGGCAAGGGACCTTTCAGGCCAGAGCAACCTTCCTCCGAGGGGCTTGTCTTTATGTTCCGACCCATCTCATCGGTCAAGTATGTTGTCCATGCAAAAGCCAGCATCAGATAACACTCCGCATACCAAGCTCTTTCCAATTCGCTCATCTTGTCTCCCGTCGAACGAGGCTGCAGTCATCAACATGGTAATTTACAGGGGCCGGAGAGATTATGCATCCACTGAACGGTTGGGGTAGCTAGCCGAGACTCACCACTGTAGTGCTGACAGGTATCCTAGTACTGGATGTACCTTTGCGGCGAGATGCTGCGAACATCTTATATATGCCTCCATGCTCGCGCGGGGCATGCATATGCGGTGCATGGCCGGACGGAGACTTTCTGTAGATGATCCGGGTATGCTGCAGCTCGACCAAAACTCTTTACTTCGTTACCCTTCACTCGTCAATCCCCAATACATCATCAAGAAAGAAGCAGCGGATTGAAATGCGGTATTACATTTATTGTATCAAACAGATTCAACCATCTGGACAGGATATATGTCATAACCAGAAGACTGCGGGAGATGGACGATAAGAGGAAGGAAAATGTATGCACTATACACAAGACGACGAGGGGGAGTATGCAACCCGTCTCACCCCTGTTCCCCAGTACACAAAACTACAAGACCACAGGTATCGAACTAAACGCCAAGGATAGACACGGACAGACAGACATGAGAAAGGGCATAAGACGGTAAAAGAAAATATGGGTAATGCGATTATAACGCGATCAAGCCCATGATGGCGACGATGATGGCGAAGACGGATCCTCCCATGCGTCCGAGGCCGGGCTGGATGACGGATCCAGCACCAGTGCTGCCAGTTGTACCTTGAACGAACTGGCCTTCAGCGGTGGCGCCGCTTCCAGACGAGCCCGTCTCTTGCGCAGGCGAATTTGGTTGTACGGCAGCTGATGTCTCGGCGACTTCTCGTCCAGCGCCACCTCCAGGGTTACCGCCAGGTACCATGGCAACATCGGTGGCCTTGGAATCGTCGTCTTTGTCCTTGGCCTCCCCTGGGTTCTCGCCGGTGCCCATGAGCGAGCCCAGAACGACTAAATCGTCGGTGATGGCGACGGTGTTGTTAGTACCGGCTTCATCTGTGTACTTGTAGGTCTTCTTTCCCTTGATCTGCGCACCCTCCGGTGGGTCGTAGCACTCGACGGTGACTTCCGAGAAGCGGGCGGCGTAGTATCCGTTGGTCATGTAGGGCGAGTTCCAGTCGATCTCTCCTCCTGCCCACTCAATGGTACCCTTTTCGTTCGAAGGCAGACCAGCAGGCCATAGGGAAAGCATGATACGCGCGGGTGTCTGGGGGTAATCGAAGCGGCCGGATGTCTTGTTCCAGGTATCGGAGCGCTCGAGTCTACGCTGTTCCTTGCCGTTGATGGACCATACCAGGGTGTCTTCCTTCCAGTCAACGCAGTATTCGTGCATGGTCTCGACCGTGTTCGCGTCCGGTACAGTAAGGTTCTCGCCGTTGGTGTCTGGAATCGCGTTAGTCATGTACGAGGGTGGCTAAGCCCGAATGTCGGATTACTTACACACTGTGACACCCTGAGAGTAGAAGTTGGACTGCACGTGGCTTGTGTCCACGCCAACCCACTCAAAGTCGATCTCGTCCTTAACATCCGACATGAGAATGAAGGCAGTGACGACACCCTTGCCCTGGGCCGTGGAAAGCTTGGAGCAGATCTTGCCGTACCAAACGTAGTAGGTAGATGCCAGTAGTGTCCCGACTGTCCCTTGCGCCATAGTCAAGAGCGTTGACTTCTCCTTGGTCTTGGGGTCTGTGTATATCGTGGGCATGCCCTGCGACTGCCAGTTAATCTTGGAGGCATCGCCGAGGTACTTGTCGATGGTCTGCACATCGTCGAGGTTGTCTAGTGTGTATTTTCCGGATTTGCACACGGGACCGGGAACGCACGAGTCGAAGCTGTGTGACATGAGGGGATCGCAGCCACCGAGGCAGAAAGCGCCGACACCGCAGTCGCCATATACTGCGACTTTGTTAGCACCAACCCCGATGCGATGAAATTTTGCGATACGTACGAGAGCAGCATGGCGTGTCCTGAGGGCAGTGGCTATCCTTTGTGCATTTCGCTCCGGCGAGCGCTGTGCCTACCAGTACTGTCGCCGTCAAGGCGGCGGACAGCAGACTTCGTACCATGATGTCGGACCGTTTGCGGGATCGTCGATGTCGTGTAAGCACCTTATCGTCGGCAAGTGGAGTAGCGCAGCGATCAAGATGATGGTATCACGACCTCTCTTGTAGTTATCGTAGGCAGGTACGCTCGATGGTTGGATGAAACAGCAGGTGTAGGGGCCCGGGCGGTTGTGCGGCGAGCAAGGGAAGGGCGCACGCGTGAAATTCGTGGTTTGTGTTCCCCTGAGATGGTACGGCGAACAAGTTTCGAAAAGCGAGGGTCTTTAGGAAACGAAAGATTAAACTGCCTGGTTAGTAAAGCGAAGGTGGTCCCGAAGGATAAGAAAGGGCACTGAGGGAGTGAATCGAGGCAGGAGCGAGCGGCGACACTCTCTTTGAAGAAGGGGTGGCCCGCCGCGCAGATACGGGGCACCATCCGCCTACGATCACGCTAGGCCGTAAATCACGGAAGGGCTAGCCGTTTGTGTCGCGTGTTAAATGCATCCGCGGCAGCGTCGCACTTCAAACATTGTTTCCGGCGTCCTCGTGAGCACTTCCATCGCGCTTCAACTCTTGAAACAGTTGTGAAGCCCACCCCTCGAAATGAAAAGTTGACAGCTAACATCGTCCCTGCATGGCCTGCCCTGACGATCCTGGTGTTGCGCTCCGCTATCGCCACCCTGCATCTATCGATAACCGCTAGTGTCTATTCTTGGACTACCGTGCAGGACCCTTCGCGCCCCACGTGCTTGCTTGCCCCATTGATTCCCTGGACAATTGTCGTCATACTGCACTCACGAGTTTGCTTCATAAATTGAAATGCTGTTGTACATTGCGCTGTCGCCGGTATCGTGGAACGCTGCTGATGTTTGCGGGGTTGTGGACCCATTGACGCAGGTCCGGGGTAGGCGGCAGAAAACGAGCACGTACACGTCGCCTGACCATCGCTATTTGCATCATGATTAGGTTACATCCACCAGCCGACAAAGAGCCGCTCAGACCACCGCAAGGCCAGCCAGCAGACGGCCACTACACATCACAGCCTCGTGGCGACCCTTCAAAGCTTCACGACAGACAGTGTGCTAAAAACATCGCGCATACTAGTAGTATTGAACATTCTGCATTCTGACATGGTGTGATCAAACTAGCACCGTCTGTCCACGTCAATACTTCCAAGCCTTGGTACCCAACGATCGCCAGAGATGAGCGGCAGATTTGTCACAAGTCCTCCAATCGACCCCTCCATCCCAAGCAAGTAGGCCACTGACGCAGCTTGAGTGTCGTGGCAGAAGCCGGACGTAGGTTTTGCAGTAGGCGTGCTCACAGTGTGTAACTCCTACTTCTACCACGACACTGAGTGTGGTCAAGTACCCTAGTCCTCTTTCAACTGTGGGCACAACTGCCTGTGGCCCTTCTTCCAGTCTTTCTTCTGACAAACCTCGGAACAGTACCGAGCCATTTTGCATCCACCGCATCTGTCTAAAACCCCACCCTTCTCGTGGCGCTCAGCACCGCACTCCCAACACGTGCCTTCCTTCGCACCGAGGTCTACCAGACGAGGCTCGGGTGTATCCACAGGTGCTTGAGCTTTTGGCTTCGCAGGAGGCGAAGGTGACGGTAGAGAAGCAGGATCGTCGGTGTTGATGGGTGAAGCAAAGATGACTGGTAGTGCGACACGAACGGCGTGTTTGAGAAGATCTTTAGACTGCTTGAGATCTTTGAGGTAGTTCGTAGGGAAGACGCCGTAGCCGCACGTGCACATGTAGCGCTTGCTGGGGTCAGTGGAGATGGGAATGCATCCCGCGACCTTGTACTCGCATGTTGGCTTGTGCTGCCACTGGCGGCATCGCTCGGCAAATCCTGGCAGTAGATGCTTCCAGAAGGCGACTTCATCTTCCTTCATCTTGATGCCCACGGCGTCGTCGCGACGCGCTGCGAGAACAGCGACAAGCGGCGTCATGTCCGCGCCCGTATGGAAAGGAACATATGCAGCATCGACGAGAAGAGTTTGGTTCGACAGATCCATACGGACCGAATCGATATACAGTATGCCGAAGAATGACGTGGGTGTACAGAATTGAATGATCTTTGCCTGTGCTTGGCCTTCTGCCCCAACAAGGTGTGCATAGATACTCTGTAGGGTCTCCTTCACACCAAGGCGTCCAGGCATGGTTGATGATACGTCAGCGAGAGACTTCTGGTAGGCTTTCAACTCTCCTGCCGACATCGTAGCCATGGGAGAAGGATGTAAGCCGATCCACTTGGCAAACGAGGCCTTCTGACCAAGGAGAAGTTTTGGTAGAACATCAGGTTGAACGTAATGTAGTTGTTCGAGAGAAA